TTGTAAAAGCTGAATTGAAAAAAAGAAAAATTGAGTATGAAGAGAAGGAAAGTAAAAATGAATTAGTAGAAAAACTATGAAAGCAAATTGGAGAAGAAACTCTAAACAAAATCAAAGGTATATTATATAAATCTAAATAAACATTTTCTTATCTGAGCTTATTCCCCTATGAAAATTTGTGTAGGAATTCATTCTCAAGGTGCAATGTTGAACAATGCACCATCCATATCAATTGAAATGTCCAAATAAAAAAAAACACCATATAATGATACCTGGGAATGAAGATGAAGCAGTCAAAAAGAATGAATACAGGTACTCTATGATAATAATAATGGACTTTTCTGTAATGGGTCTTGTTCTGTAACAGACTGAGAATTTAAGTCCAATTTATGTCATCCATATATAAATTATTATTGTTTATAACAGACATTTTTTCCTAAGTGAACTATAAATAGGAAAAAAATTAATATAATAATAAATATTAAATTACCAAATTTTAAATTCTCTAGAAGGAATTACTTTGAACTGGGTTGGGCTCTTTGTGAAAACCAAAATTTTGGAAAGCGTGGTGGAAGTAAACACATGTCTGAACAGGTAAAACAACTTCTAAGAGCCTATTTTTTGTCAGGAAATGTATATAAACAATGCCTGCAGATCTAAAACTAAGAGTAGAAGCAGGTGCGTTGGATTCAAATGAGTTACCGAAAATAAAAACTATAGAAAATTGGATAATGCATTTTAGTAGAGAACATAAAAAAGAATCAGCTGAGAAAGAATTGGACATTATGTTATAAACATACAAACCAATAAATATAATTTTTAGTTTTATGTCATTTTATTATGCATAAAAAAGTTGGTTTTTATAACCATAATCCCCAATCAAGATTGAAATAGTGCAAAAACAGCTTGGACAAAAAAAATTTTTTTTGATAAAAATATTCGTAACAATCTGTTTATTGATATCCAAATGTTTGTTTTACAAAAATGCAAATGGAAACATGATGTTATGATAGAAAAGTAAGGTGAACTGGATGATTTTTACTATATATAAAATGTTGTAAATGCACCCTGCCAATCACTAATTAAAATTCACTCATTCTTAAAAGAATCATGAATTAAGTATCTAAACTTTGTGTAGGGAATTTAAAAGTTTTATAATAATATTTGTACTGCTCATGATGTTAATCATCATTGTAACTGGATTTAACTTCTCAATTTGATAATTTCATTACTCACTTATGATTAAGTATTGTAGCAGTATTTTTTGTTGATTGCAAGCAAGTAGATTTTTTTTATAAAAAAAAATCCACATATTCATTTACCTTAATATAAATATTGATTGTTTAATAAATTTAATAACAATAGCAATAATAAATAAATAAAAGACATTAAAAAAAAACTATACTTTCCAACTAGACAACCTCATAAAATGACAGTTTTCCTTTTAACATAAAAAAGTCCATTGAAAGCAAAACAATGTATTATAAGTAAGTAGTGACAAAACATTAATTAGTCTTATTGTTTAATAAAAAAATGGGAAAGAAAAAGAGATGTGAACACAAAACAAAATATAAAATTAAAAATAGAAATAACCACAGCTAATCAGAGATCACAAAAAACATTTTGCTATCCTTTTAAATTTGTTTGCATCACAAAATTTCCAATTATATTACTGGACAGTAAGCATCATTCATATATTTAAAAACATTCAAACTGTTACACAACTTAATCTTTTGTATTTGCTATTGATCACTTTGCAGGGTTGGCAAACTGACTAGTCCATTGAGAACTGATGATTCATTGCCATTAATAAAACACTAAATATAGCTAAAACATTACACCAATTGACCCAATGGATCGCCAATAGATCACCAATGGACTACACATTTGCCAACCCTGGATCACATACTGCTAATGGTGAAAGAAGGAATGGTACAGATGATTATAAAACTCATTTATCATTAATTCAAAATTAATCAATAAAAAAACAAACAAAGAGACAGTTGTGGTTGAAAAGGCAAAAAAAATTGACATCCAACTATCAAAGAAAAAGTTGATGATATTGATAAGTTAAAATCTTTTGGTATACAAACTTCAGGTAATTAAATTAAAGGTTATATCAATAAAAGTGATCAAAATAGTCATTTATCATTGTATAATTTTAGGCTTGGATGTAATGTATTTAAAATTTCCAGAACTTTATTTATATCATGAAATTATGTCTTTTAAATTTCCAGAAACAATCCAAGCATAAGAAATTTAGCTAATTCACTATTGTAATAAGCTTGCTTGCCAGCTCACTAGTTACTCACGTGAGAAACTTAAATTTTAATCTCTCATTAACCCGAAGGAAAGATTAAATTTTATATTCACCAAAAATCTGAAATTTCTTGGTTATACAATCATAATAATAATAATAATAATAAAGATAAATTTGGATCTTTAAATGGTCCCATGGATGACGAAGGAGGAAATCCTCGGTTGAATTTTGCTAAAGATTGATCAATGAATGAATTCAAATTAATTAAGTGAATAAATTATATTAACGCTTTTAGTCTTTTTAAAAGTAGAATAAATTCGCGAGTTCTATGATTCATAATTTGTTTAACTTGTCAAAATAATAAATGAAAAAGCAATAAAGCAATTATTTTTTTTTGGAGGTGATTTTACAAATTGTACATAATTTTTTATTTGTTTTTATTTGGTAATTTGATCTATGTTAAAAAATGAGCTGGTCTTGGGACCGGTCTTTTAAAGACCTAGTTAATATTATTATACATTTTATTCTTAAGAAATAAATTAAAAAAAAAGATCAAAAGATAAATCAATATAATGAATAGATTTATAGTGAATATTAAATTAATCAATCATCAATTGATAATTCATCAACCTTATCAATTTTCTCAATACCTTTTCCTTTACTATTATTATTAGAATCTAATGTTTATTGATTAATATTAAATCGGAATAAAAAATATTGTTAGTAATAATAATTTCTCAATTAATAATGAATTTTTATTCGCCTTTGTTAAAATCAACTTTAGAGTTAAAATCAAGATCATTTAATGAATTATCATTACTTGTTAAACTTTTGGATTTAGCAATCTCTTCATCCAATATTCTACTTGTGTGGCATGCATCTGGATGTGATTTGTGTGATTGTTGCAAAGCACTATCACCACTAATAGTAGCATTATTATTATTATTAATTCTCCCATGTTTATTTTCAGCAAATACCAGAAACTCTCTAATGGTTGGTCTTTTAGATGGACTCACATCCCAACGCCTTTGCATCATTTGTACACAACCATAAGGCATTTTAGTAATATTGGTGGTCGCAAACCTTCTGCACATATATCAAAAATTAAATGATGATGATTATGAGCTCTATTGTTAAATGGTGGATGACCTGCAAATATTTCCCATATTAACATCCAACACTATAAATATCAGATTCTTTTGTGTTCTTTTTGCCTCTAAGTAGCTCAGGTGCAATATACAATACAATCCCATAGACTTTATTTGATGATTTTCCATCAACTGGTCCACATAATCCTAAATCTGTATATGACAATTACCTCTATCTATTAATAGATTACCACTATGTAAATCACAATGGATTAAATCTTTTTCATGTATAACAAGTAATGCATTACATAAATAATAAAAGATTGTAATTCTGTCTTTTAATGTTAAATTTAAATGGTTTTTTTTGTAAATAATCCCTTAAATTTCCCTCTGATAAATAATTTAAAACAATTGCATGGTTTCCATTATTTGGGAATTTAGTTATACTATAGTAAGAAACAATCATCCC